GTCACATCGACAGTTTGTTTTGTCTCCATAACAGGGATCTAATCATGAACTAAGTCCAAAGACCACCTCCTGATAGCAACCGTAGAAGGTCTAAGATCCATACCACTTTAAGAAAACCAGCGCTTATACAAAGACGATGGAGAAATCTTTATCTTCTCGCTGTTTGCTTATTTTTTTCCTCCAATTTTTTAACTTGGACATGGAGGCCAAAATTACACAGAGCCTTGAATTTACAAGGGCTGCTGGGAGTATTATTAAAGGCTGCTGGAAAGGCCAGGGCCAAGCTGAGACAGTTTCACTGATCTGCCTCTACATGTCTGAGAGGCTAATGCGTATAACGTATAATCGGAACGGGCGTACTTTGGCGATATATCACACTAATAAGGAGAAAGATATCCAATACTTACAAGTTCTCGGCGCTGGATTGTTGAGGTAGGCAGCGAATAGATGTTACACTGAGTTATAATACTGTTGCTTTGCTTTGCTGTTTACGCCTGAGAAATTTTCTCATGAACAAACAATTGCTCCATCGCTTAGTTAATAAAAGTGTACAGGTAGCTTTCATATCAATGTTAGTTTGGAAATGATTTGACAATAATGAATTAGTACGAGTAGCTGGAGTAAAACCATGTCTTTTTCCTTCTGTGTACTTGGTCCTTCGGTGTAATGACCACATTTCAGAAGAATTTTACATTTTGATCTTTATGAGTCAAAGTTTACATCTGGCAAAGGAACAAAGGGGTAAGTTTCTTAAGAAACTGTGCTGCTGCGTCGGTGGGAGAGTATAACGAGGTAATTTGTTATTATCAACTGGGGTTGCCAATCCTTATGAAATTTCATAGTTTTACACCTCGATTGAAAGATAAACATTTCTATGTTTTGACTTACCTCAGATACAAGGCAGTGGAAAGGAGAGTACCGATGTTCATGTCGAGATCTCTCGCACGGAAAATCATCAAACGCAAGTTCAAAGAACTGTCCTATGAAAGCAATTCCCCAGGAAATCATCAAGTGTTCGTCAAAGAAATTTTGCGATCAACCAAACATGGTGCATATTTTAAGAGGAAAGGAAGAAGATCTCTAACTGAAAACGAAGTTGTAACGCTGGAGAAAATCTCAGCAACTTTATCCAAATACTTGTCGAGTTCTCACCTGTCAAAAGTTATGGAAAGATGCAACTTGTTCTTTTTAGGTCTCATCCGCTCCAGAGGATCACTGGAGAACACTCCAAAGGATCATTTTATTGAACGATTTACAAGGAATCACATGGATTATGAAGTCAATGTTGTTAATCGCGTTTGTCCATCAGGAAAATCTCACAAACCTCCAAGAGGGACTGGCTACGATAGTAACATTGGGGCCAATAAAAACGAGAAATCGCACGATTGCGAAGACATGCGCAATGGATCAGACCAAGAATGTTTTGGAATGTGCGGGAAGAAATGCTGGTGCTGGCACTGGGTGTGCGGCGATTGTTGTTTGCACAAGGGTTGTCTGCAACACGATGCATGTTGCCGTTATGCAAATCCCCAGTATTTATCGACATATTGCCTTCTTCCGTTTGTTTACGGTTTTGATTGCGAAAATGGTTATCACGGCTACCCAACTTGTCTGCATAGGTGAATCTCCTTTGTTGCTTATCGAATGGGAACTTCCTTTGACGCGTGGGAAATAGGAGATTTCTCCGTCTAAGGTCGATTTAACCTTGTTGTTTCATTGCCTGACGATAATATACATGACTTTTGAACAATGTTTCAAAATATTGTTAAATTTTTCATGAGGACATTTGCTAGGAGACGAAGGATCACGTTAACATCATTTCCCAGGGTTCTTTATTGCACGCTGACGCCGTTAACCTTAAATTTTCTGTTGCTCCATGTGATAAGTGCTCGCATGTTTTGATTGACCATTTTGACAACTTTTCTTTGACCCTTTTCACCCTAAACTAAATATTCTTACCCTCCACATTGTTCTCGTTTCATTTTATATGGTTCTGACAA